GAGAATGATGAGGGCAACGGATGTACAAATGTGCTTTACACAATTGATGTGTGTATGGATTGTGATAAGAGTTGTATGAGCGTCCAATAAAATGATTTTTTTTTCATCTTCATTTTGAAATTGATCCAATATGCAGTCAAGGTGCATTAATCATTATTAGAAACTGGAATGTAGAAGGTGGAAACAAAAACGGAAGGATCAGGAGTTTGAAAATCTCACCTTAATGATAGAAGAGAAGTTGGAGATAGCATGATAAAATTTACCAGACTAATGCCTTCATTGCAAATAATATTTTTCAATGAAATAAGTGGCAACCATACACCTGGACTTATCAGATGGCATACAGAGGAATCAAATTAATTGCATCTCTGGGAAGAAATGATGGAGACACTCACTAGCAGCAGCCAAAACAAAGCCAGTGCTGACTGGGGAATAGACTATCAGTTGCTCACAAGTAAGTTCAGGTTGAAGTTGAAAATTAAAACAAGTCCACGAGAGCCAAAATATGATCTTGTGTACAAGCCATCGAAATTTACTAATTTTTTTTTTCAAAGAAAGAAAACACAGTATACCAGTATATATGGATGTTTCAGCAAAGTTTCTTGATCCTGCATCCAAACTATAACCTTGTGACTGGGGGTTCTTAGGACATGAGCCAGTAGCCTGATGCTTAACCCACAGATTTGGGACTTGCCAGACTCCATAACTGTTTGCCATTACTTTGAAATAAATCACCCTATATGCTTCCCTGATTTTGTTCCTCTAAAGAAGCCAGCCTGAGATAACTCATAACGAAAACATTTGAGCAGAGACAGTCTAGGAAGAAAAACCTGATGGTTTCCTTCTGAAAAATCAGCCAATGAAATCCTATGGATCACAGCAGAACATTCTGTCTGAGACAGTGCTTGAAGGTAATCCACATAAGTTGTATTCAGAGCCCAGCAGATGAACAGTGGACTTGAGCACACCAGCCATTATGACTGGACAGGACCAGGCAGCATGGGGTTACCACGAGGTCACGGCAAGTTGAAAGCGGCAGCCTATTCACTCTATTATTATAATATTAGATGCTTATATAATTGACTATACTTACACTTTCTTATTTTTTAAATATATTTATTGCATAATGGTAAAGCGTAATGGTAAGGCTTCTATTTAAACATAGTACATTGAAAATACACAGTGTTTTCCATTTAATCCAGAAACCTCATTAAAGGGACAGTAAAAAAAAATTTTTTTTAAGCTGTAAACCTATAAAGATAAAGCCAGCAGAAAAAACCATCACCACTGAAGGGTAAAAACAGGACTTTAGAAAGTCGCTGAATTATACATGTAAACCTCGTTCAGTTGATGCGTATTCTGCTGTGTACTCAATAGATTATCTTTAAAGATTTAGGAAAGCATAGTTTGTTGCATACTGCAATATGCATATGCTAGTGAAAGAAATTAAACATAAAGGCCATATATTATTTGGTATGATTTCAATGAAATGTCCAAGATAGTCAAATCTATAGAGCCACTACCTGAAGATGGAAGATGAGGAAAAAATGGGGCCTACTTCTAACCTTTTGGTCTTACTTTGATCGTAATGGAAATGTTGTGGGATTAACTTTTTCTTCTCTTTAAATACACATTAAAATTGGGGGGGGGACCTTGAAACCCCCTGAAAAGTTAGTTTTCTATGTTCAATATGCACATTATATGTGTGTGTTCTTTATTTACATGAACACATGATGGGCAAAAATACAGTAGTGATAGTTATGTAACAATTTTAGTAGAGATACTAAATTCTAAATATACTAAGTAAACTGTATCTGCTTTAAAATGGTGATTGTTAAGTTGCTATATTTAGATACAAAATAAAAACTAATGTGTTACTAAACTTGGAACGGAAAAAAATATTTTTGTGAAAAAACCTGAATTTAGAAGAACAAGGAAGGACAGGCTGTTATAGCTCAAACTGAAAGACTAAAGAACAAACTCAAGCCTTGAGTTACAATACTGAGGGATTCCATGGGCTAAAGATTGAACCATGCAGGAAGCATCAAAGGTGATGGAAGGAAAACACAAAATCAATCACTCTACCAAAGAGAATTGGTCAACAGTCAATCATTTCTAGAAACAGTATGACCACGAACCAGGGGTAGCCCAGGAAGAAGTCTGAGTGGCACTGAAAGCATTAGCAAAAGCAAGGCTCCAGGAATTGACAAATACCAATTGAAATATTTCCACAAGCTGGAAGCACTCACTTGTCTATGGCAAGAAATGCGCAAGCCATCTTTCTGGTCAGTAACTAAAAGGGATATAGTTATGCGTATTCCAAAGAAAGGTAACCCAACAGAATACAGAAGTTATTGAACATTATCGTTACTATCACATGCAAGTAGTTTTAGAGTAAAAAAATATGTTAATATAATCTATTTTACTTTTAGTTTGTTTATCTTTAGGTGGTGTTAATATGGACTTCCTAGAAAAAATATAAGAAAAATGAAAAGCTGTTTAAAAGTAGTGATCCTATATAATAAAATTTTAGTGGTTATTTGGACATATTCTCCTTATAAAACAAGTATCTTCTAGTTATTAGAAACTATGTGCAACTTAAAAAAATTTTAAACTATGCTTAAGAGAATAATATAGATCCACTGTATTTGGTGTTTCAATATTTTGAAATTTGCAAACTTCTTAACGGGACAATAGCTGGCTGATTTTTCTTAGGCACGCAAGAAAAACCAGCATTATACAAGGGGCTTCAAAAGGAGGTGTATGGCAAAATTCCATGATCTTTTCATTTGATTTCACCAAGAACTTTTTAAAGCATTTTAACGTATTGGAGCCAAAGGCACCATATGGTTCCAGACACTGTTAGTTTCTTCTCATTTGTGGAATGCATTCATTGTACAATATGAGTCTACATTTTCCCCTTTTCTAGTGTTTTTAAGCTTTTTAATCTAAACACTCACACGTGGTCTTTGCTGTTGCTTGCAGGTGCATCGGCTGGTGGTAGTCAATGAAGCAGATAGTATTGTGGGTATTATTTCACTGTCTGACATCCTTCAAGCCCTAATACTCACACCAGCAGGTACTGATGGTGATTTCTTACCTTTCTTGGAAGTTTATGGACATTGAATAGGGTGTAAGAGGTAGAATGTTGTTGTTAGGTGCCGTCGAGTCATGTCTGACCCATAGCAACCTTATGCACAACAGTGTGAAACTGAACGGCGCTGAGCCATCCTCACAATTGTTCCTGTGCCTGAGCCCATTGTTGCAGCCACTGTGTCCATCCATCTCGTTGAGAGCCTTCCCCTTTCACTGCCCCTCTACTTTACCAAACGTGATGCTGCTTGTCAGGGACTGGTTTCCCCTGACAACATGTGCAAAGTATGTAAGAAGTCTTGCCATCATTGCCTCTCAGGGTGCTCTGGCCATACTTCTTCCAAGACAGATATATTGGTTCTTTTAGCATCCCGTGGTACTTTCCAGCATCACAATTCAAATGCATCTATTCTTCAATCTTCAATCTTCCATATTTAATGTCCAACTTTCACAGGCGTATGATGCAATTGAAAATATCATAGCTTGTATCATGCACGCCTTAGTTTTCAAAGTAACACCCTTGCTATGCAATGCTCTAAAGTCTTGTGCAGCAGATGTACCTAATGCGACTCGTCTTTTGATCTCTTGACTGCTGCTTCCATGAGCATTGATTGTGGGGCCAATCAAGACAAAGTCCTGCATGATGTTACCTATTGGTCCAGTTGTGAGGATTTTGGTCTTCTTCACATTGAGTTGTAATCCATACCGAAGGCTGCAATCCTTGACCTTCATCGGCAAGTGCTTCAATTCCTCCTCACTTTCAACCAGCAAGGTTGTATCATCTGCATATAGCAGGTCTGTAATAAGCCTTCCTCCAACCCTGATGCCAAATGTTTGTTTCCTATACATCCCACTAACACATGGAAGCATTGTGTGTTACTTTTAAACCAGTTTGCATCATTTTCTTAATCTCAAATTTAAATATTCTATTTGGGAAAAGTTTTCTGGCGTAAGAATATCATTTAAGCCCAGCAGACCTTAAATTTTCTGTGATTTATTACCACTTTCATTTTAACCTTTTCCATTCAGTTTTATTACCCATGGGGACTACTAACTGAAAAATACAGGGGGAAACCCATTGAATTGTGTCTGTTGAAAGCTTCCTCTATCCTTGCCAGTTTCTTGTGTATATAAAACAAATCATTGAAACACTGACTTTTCCCCATTAGTATTGTCTGGAAATTACATGGCTCCCAAATCAGCCTGGTAGCCGAAGCCATTTTCTCTCATCGTCACTTTCAGCAAGCTCTCAGAATCCCAGTAACTGCGCCTGCAGAGGGGAAGGAAAGGGGCTCCCCACCCAAAAGGAGCCCCTACTACATACAAGAACATCTCGTCCTAATTTAGAATACCGGCAGGGTGCTTCCAGCAGAGCTGTGCTTTCTCAGTCTGGTCCTCAGATCTGCAGCATGCGGGCCACCTTGGGAACATATTAGAAATGCAGATTCTCAGGCCCACTCATCCATCTCTACTGAATCAGAACTCTTCGGGATGGAGCCCAGGTCTGTCATTTTCAAGTTTAAGGGGAAAGAAGTTCAAAGATATGAAATGGTTGTTCTTATTAGTGTCCCTTAAGTCAGTTATGACTGACAGTCTGTACAACATATCATGAAGTAACGATATGAGAGCAAAATTGTTCACGGCATTCTTTGACACAACTGAAACCTAGAAATAAGCCAGGTGTCTTTTAGCAAAAGAAAGGATACACTGTGTTGGGGTCATTCTGGGAAATACTGCACCACCTTGAAGCAAGCAACTACACCCACTCCTCACCTACCAAAGTGGTTCGGTTCCAAAGGCCAGGTCGTCATTCAGAATCATTGTTTCCCCTGAGTTGGGAGCTGTCCCTCTTCTTCAGTGCCACTGCCTCCCCGCCCTTTGTGCCCCCAGCCCATTGTGGGCTACATTGGAGGGAGTAGAGATTGGGCATGCCTGCTCGGAGAAATCTGCCTGCCGTGCCCTGGTCCCAGCTTCAGCCCTGTGTAGGTCCCAGACCACCAGAGGCATCGCCTGAGGATTTTTCCAGAGTTGTCATAAATGCAAGTTAAATAATGAAAGAAGTCGGTGAATGAGAAGTGGGTATACAGACATGCCCTACAGTGAGTGATTCGTGCAGAAGGAATACAGAGCAAAGGGGGTCAGACTGACCCATACAGTCCAACTAGCACCTTCATTCAAATGAGAAAAAGGCCTTTTTCTGTGGGAAACCCATCCCCACACCTACCCCGGCTGGCACCTTCAGAATAACGCCCCTTTGCCTGTATCCAGGCACCTGCTTTGGCAAGTGGAGTCAACTTGAGTACTGCTCCCATTTATTTGCCCCTTTTCCACGATTCTTTGTGTTGTGACCTCCAGAGTAATCAAGTCATTGATTCTCTCAGGGCCTTGAAGTATCCATTTGAATAAGGTTGGCCTGGTGGTTAAGTTTACGTGTCCATCCTGATTTGATATTCTAAAATTGGAAGTCACCCATGTCCCTGCTGTCCATGCTGCTCCAGGCAGGGAGTCTCTTCCACATTTGGAATTTGAAATGTGCATTATCATAGGATGAGTGTTACATAGTTAGGGATAGTTGAATAAGACTTCTTTGTACTATATACTATGTTTAACTATTAGGAGAATGTTCCTAATAACCTGATTGTAAGTTAATATTTGGAGCAAAACCCATTTGGAAACCAGGCCCACCTACATTGAATCAACGATAATGTATGAGAGGGTGGTGTAACTAAGTGTAAGAGTGGGACTCTAAAATTCCTAACCCAGAAAGCTGCCTAAATTTGGGCAGGTACATATATCCCCTCATTCAACCCCAGTCTCTTCAGCTGTAGAATAAGCTAGTCACACAAGTCCTGTCTCCTCCTGAGCTGCAGTGTAGATGACATGGCGCATGACTAAGCTCTGTGCCCTTGAAGTATCAAACAGTTAGAATCAGGAGGTTGAACTGGATGAGTTTAAATTTCCATCCAGATGTGATATTCCAAAATTCTAAGTCACTCATGGCCCTCCAGTCCATGGTGATGGAAGGAGGAAATCTCATTGGGATGATCGGTGTTTAAGACTTTTCCACTGTTCATGTAAATGCAAGGGGATATTCTCTTCTCCAGATAATGGGCACAATTTCTCATTAAGGAGGTTGATCCAATACAGTAACATTTTCTCTTGTTTCCAAATGTCTTCAGCAATTGCCAGACGTCCATTCCCCACATGAGCCTAAGTGTTCCTCCATCTATGCGAGGAGTAATCCATCCGGCGGCTAGAGTACACTGTTGTGGGCCCTTTATTCCTACAGATACTTAGTCTCTGTAACATGTGGTGTCTTTTAGAGACTGATGAGAATGGAGAAAAGCTGCCATGGTGCGAAAAAAATAGCAACTCCAGCAATTCATTGAGCTCTCCTTATGTACCAATATCCTCTGAAATGTTACCGCATATGAACAACCAAAATGCTTCGTACCTTCACTAAGTTATGTGCACATGCTGCTTTTGCAGAATTTTAGCAACAGAACCTTTTCTGCCTAATTAGACCACATACTTCAAGGTCTAGGGAAAATAGGAATTAAAAGTGAACTGCCCTGGTGAAGGCTGCCCCCTCGCCACTTCTCCATTTTGTGCCAGCTGGAGCAAGCTCCTCGGGTGCCACAGGATATTGTAGAAAACCGCAGATGTGGAGACTTGCTGCTTCTATCATGGAGGGCGCACACATCTGCAACACACTGAATTTTTATTTTTCATTTTTAATGACTGACAGGTGCCAAGCAGGAGACAGAAGCTGAGTGACACTGTGATTGCAGGCCCCCTCGAGGAGAACTTGAACAGCGTTCCGGGGCTCACGTTTTACCTCTTGGAACACTGACCACAATAGAAGAAAGTAAAATGGTTAAGAATGTGTATCAGGGTTTAGGGTATTTTTTTCCATTGATGTTGAAACTGAACATAAAAAGAGAAAGGTTTTATATGCTTGAAGATTCAGGCTTGCATTAAAAGACTATTTCCAGACTTAGTCTGAGACTGCAAATGCTGTCTGTCATAACAGTGCATTGTGTCCTGGAAGTCTTCGTTTCCATTTCAAAGGGTCCGCTGGTGTGCAGCAGGTCTTGTGACATAAGGTGAGTGTGTGGCATATTCAGATCATAGTGCCTTATGTCAGAACACAGCAATATGTCATCACAGCGGAGGCGCACTGGGGGGCGGGCAATCTACTGGACTGAATGTCTGAACCTCTTACCAAATCAGCTCGTCCTCGTTAGAGTTGTCCAAAAGTCGCCCTTTGAATAGAAGTCATTACTTTGAAAACTTCAATGGTGGTTTTGAGTTTAAATGTTTTGTTCTCAACTACAGTGTAAAACAAGAACTGCTTTGAAAACAGCTTTATTTATTTTTACTTCCATGACAATTGTTTTCACCTCTTTGGGTGGGGAAACTTCACCATATCCGTCAATAAACTCTTGGTTATTCTTTTACAATGACAAATTTCTCATTTTTGAAGTTTGGACCTGGAGAGGATATGACGTTTAAGGTAACGCCTGCGTGGAGACCCACCACAGTGAAGGATGCCTGTCTTACGATGTGCAGATGGAAAGGTCTTTTTTTTTCCTTTTTGTGTATTAAAATGTAAAATCATGATTATACCACTGCTGCTGTGATTTACTTATTTTAATTTTTTTTTGTAAATTTTATTGTGGCAAATAGTTGAAGAGAAATCAAGAGCTTTCTGATCTGTTTCTGAAAATATTGACACTAAGAGTTTGGGGAATATTGGGGTTGTTTTGCTCTTTGGGGAGAGGGACAAATTGAAGAGATTAAAATAAATCTTTTCATTTTGGTTTTTTCAAATACCACCTATTCCAGTGCATATTAATTAGAATTCTACATGTAGTAGTTTTCCACAAAGATATTTCTCTCCAGTTAAAGAAAATATATATCTTTCCCAAGTTCAGGGGGCGGGGGGAACTTAAGGATTTTATTTATAAACTTTATATCTGCATTGTTTTATGTGAACACCATTTGTTCATATAAACCCATATGTATAAAAACAACTCATGGGAAAGATTGAATTTAAAGACAATGGAAATATTTGAAGCCCCTCCTATATATATTCTTCCCGTAGAAACAACTGTGGTTGTAATGGGTTGGTGGTGCAGGTGCCCCGAGTCAGTTCTAACTCACAGCAACTCTGTACACAAGGGAAGCAAGCAGTACCCAACGCCGCCCCATCCTCTTGATTGTCGCTGTGTTTGAACCCATTGTTGCAGCCACTGGGTCAGCCCTGCTCGGGTGTTTCTCTTTTTCACCAGCCCGCTTTTCCAGGCTTGTCCAGAGTTTGTGAGATGAAGTCTCACCCTTTGCCCTCCCTTCTAAGGAACATTCTGGCTGTACTTCTTCCAAGACTGATTGATTTATTTGTTCTTCTGGGAGTCCACAGTGCTTTCCACATTCTTCGCCAACACCATAATTCAAATCCATAAATTCTTCCACAGGCTTCCTTAGTCACTGTTCCGCTTTCACGTGCATAGGAAATCATTGAAAATAGCAATGGTTTGGGTCAGGGCACCGTAGTGCAGAGTGACATCCTTGTTCTTCAGGGCTTCCAAGAGGTCTTGAGCAGCCGATTAGCCCAGCTCAGTAAGTCACTGATTTCTTGACTGCCCCTTCCATGAGTGTGGATGTGGATCCAAGCACAATGAAACCCTTAACCATGTTGAGTTTTTGCTCCATGTATCATGATGATGTCGGTTGGTTCCGTTCTAAGGATTTTTTTTTTTTCTTGGGGGAAATCCCTACTGAAATTTGAAGTCCTTGTGGTTTTCACCAGCTAGTGTTTCAAGTCCTCCTCAATTTCAATAAGCAAGGTTGTGTCATCATCATCATCTAGAAAGTTGTTGAGCAGCCGTCCTCCAGATAGAGCAGGCTAAAAGTGTATTCACATGAAACCTCTAGGATTTCCTCTCATGATAGCCCTATCTGCTTTCTTTTTTTTTTTTTGCTGGACACATTGCATTAAACTTGACCTTTCTGCTGTCTGCCTAAACCCAAGGGGGTGGGGGTAGTAAAGTTGTGGAGCTTATTTCACTGATTCCTTCCTACAAGGATGTCTAAGAATGTTCAAGTACCTGATGCTCTCTGACTATCTCTGCTTTGAGTCTTGGGCTGTACCTAAGAGGATCTCACAGATGGTGAAAAACATTGAACCATTGTGTACCCCTCTAGTTCTGAGCATTGGTTTTCCTCCCTGTAAAACCTGATTCACAATCACCTGAGGTACCCATTAGAAGACTCAAGCCTAGGTCCATCCCAGATGGACAATTAGCAAGCACACCCAAGTCTGAGCACCACAGCCCTGAAGGATCACTTCTTTCTAGAGTCACACGTAGGAAAAATAGACTTCACATTGTTTCTTCTTGCCACTGTCACCGCACCAACACTTCTCATGCTCCTGGCCTGCTGCTGCTGGGACCTTCATCACGGCAGAGCAGAGAAGGTGGCCACCTAACACTACAGAGTAGAGCCAGGCCAGCTTTGGACCTAACTAGAGGGCCAGCTCTGCTCTTGAGAGAAAAACCTTAAACCCTGCTATATGTTGACTAGATGCTAGGACCATAGAGTCAGTCCTCACAGCAAATCCCATGCCCAAATGGGACCCAATGGTTGTGACCCATAAGGTTTTCATTGGCTAATTTTTATGAGTAGATTGCCAGGGCTTTCTTCCTAGACCATCTTAATTTGATGCCTGTTCAGCTTCACAGCATGCAAGCATGGCTGGCTGTAAGAGGTGCAGTGGCCAGTGATCAAACCTGGGTCTCCTAAGTGGAAGGTGAACATACTACCACTGAACCACCACTGCTACAGCACAAGATACTTTTCTCGTCACCTTCTGGAGAAGTACCTCCTAACGTTTGCCCTGCTAAAAACCCCTGCCACCATGGTGCAGCCTGGCCAGAACCCCTTCAGCCCCAGACCATGTTCCCAGGCAGGCTCAGCAAGCAGAATCAGCACTTCTTCCCTCACCATTGTCAGTTTCTCATAGGTAATGGTGAACAAGCACATAATCCAGACTAACTAACAAGCACATAATCTCAGAGGTGCATTTGCTTCAGCTGACCGGCACCTCTTCCTTTACTGCTGTTGGGCTGCTTGTTGACCATAAGGGTTCTCATAAAACTCCAGATTTTTGCTTCTCTTGAAATCCCACAAACAGGGTAGCATTAGGACCACATTCCAGCTGCAGAGACCTCCAGGGCTGCAGGTAGCTCCTCGGGCTTTCTACCAAGCCATTCCTTCCCATTCCTTGGAGCCTGAGGAATATTTTCCCAGGTAAAACTCAGTGTAAAGCTCCATCTCTAGCCTGAGTATACATATGCATGTCCCTGGGAAATCTGATGTAAATATGTGTATGTCCTTAAAGCATTAATGAATATACATCTATTGGTAAATGAGGTGGATTAATACTAGTGCCATTTGAATTCAGCTATATTATTTGAGTTAAGGCCTCTGTCCACCTAGTTGAATTGCCAAAAAACATTGCCATCAAGTCAATGCCAACTCATAGCAACCCTATAGGACCTGGTAGAACTGTCCCTGTGAGTTTCCAAAACTGGTATTCTTTACAAGAGTAGAACGCCCCTGCTTCCCCCAAATATGAAAATACAAATGCTTGCATACACCACTGTTACATGTGAGCATGGTCTCATTAACCGTAAGTCCACTGAGATGTCTTATTTAAGGGGAATGAATAGATGGTTTTAGGTGAGGTGGTCTCAAAAAAGAACCATATATATGGTCAAGTTTCAGTATAGAAACCCCCACATATTACGGGCCCAGAGCAAGAAGAGTAATATAACCCAACCAGGTTGCTGGTTTCTTGAAGCTTGGGGATGGATGAAAGATAAGTGATATACGTGATGACAGTGACTAATTCAAAGATGTGCTGGGTCCAATTAAGGTAGTATGTATATGTGAAGTTACGAGTTTTGGATAAGATAAGCTTGTTGTGAAAGTATAATTAAAACTAAACTCACTGCCATCATATCAATTCTGATTTATAGCAACTCTGTAGGTCAGGGTAGAACTGTCTCTGTGGATTTCTGAAACTAACTTTTCAGGAGTAGAAAGCATGAGCTTTCTCCCATAGAGTGACTAGAGGTTTTAAACTAGTGATTTTGAAGTGGCTGACCTTACAATTCTGGATGGTGGTAGGGCAAAGGGCTTCTTTCCAGATATCAGTATTGCAGGAAAAGTTTTTCTCCATCTATGGTTTCCAAGAGCATAATAATTTATACTACAAGGGTTCTCCATTTTAATAAGTGAGTCTCAAAATGACTAATGGCTAATATAAAAATAGAAATGGCAAAATACAAGATTGATGCTAATTGGCCGGTAATAATAAATAGATATTCAACTGGTTGTCCTCCCATTCAGATTAAGGTAAGCAGATAATCCACTAAAAGTCAAAATAATGTTTTGCCAAGTAGGTGGGATATAAAGATTGTCACTCAGAAATAACCATCTTGTGGATGGTCAAAACTGTGAAGGAAGGACAGCCCTGTCGAAGAGAGGATGGCCAGTTACTACAGTAACTTCTGTAGTAGTTACATGATTTTATGTCAACTTGATAAATAGGTATAGGGGTGGAGTCTAGCTTGTCATAGCATAATGATGCCTCCTTGTGGGTATGGAATTCCCATGAGGATTCTGGGAACTTCCTTTCTCGAAGTGGGCCATGCTCTCTATCTGCCCTCGTCTTCCTGTGGACAAGCCACGTGGAACTATGCTGAGACCAGAGTGAGCCATGCAGTATGGAAACCTGCAGAGACAGCCTTGTGATGATTCCACTGCCATTGGATCTACAAGAGTTCACCCACTGGCCTGTGATCTTCCTGTATTCTGCATCATTGTGGGTGGCATTGTGGGTCTGCAAAGGACTTTTTAGACTAGCATTGGGCTTATGGGCTAATACAGGATTTGTGGACTCGCTCTGGACTGGGCTGGGATGTTTTCTTAATATACAATTACTCTTTGATATAAAGCTCTCTCTTATGTATACATGACTGTCAATGAATTTGTTTCTCTAATTGACGTGGCTGAGGAGGTAGTTTTGGTGGGAATGGCAACTTTAGTCAGGGTAGAAACTTCAGTTGATGTGGTGGCATTGGTGGCAGCCATGACAATGGTGGATATGGAGGCCCTGGGGATGATTACAATGGATTTGGTAATGATGAAAACAGTTTTGGAGAGACAGAAGCAACAGTGATTTAGGCAGTTACAACAATCAAACTTCAAATTTTGAAAGGAGGAAACTCTGGAGGCAGAAGCTCTGACCCTTATGGTGGTAGAGGTCAATACTTTGCCAAACCACAAAACCAAAGTGGCTATGGTGGTTCAAGCAGACGCAGTAACTATGGTAGTGGCAGATGATATTAATGACTACCAGGAAACAAAGTTTAGCAGGAGAGAGCAAGAGAAGTGACATGGAAGCTACAGGTTACGACATGTTAAAGGTTACAGAAGAACCGCTCAAGAAGCTGAAAGACTCCAAACAGGAAAGACTGCCAAAGAAAATCACCATGACACATCATAATCACGTGCTCCAACATCAAGGGCAAGGAAAGAATACTGAAAGCAGCTTGGGAAT